ATCTTGATTCTATCCCTCTGTTAATGCAGCCTAGCACTGTGTTGGCTTTTTTGGCAGCTGCAGCACACTGCTGGCTCATATTTAAATGATTGTCCACTAGGACTCCGAGGTCCCTCTCACAGTTACTACTATTGAGCAAGGTACCCCCTATACTATACCTGTACATTTGGTTTTTCTTGCCTAAATGTAGAACCTTACTAATAATATTATGTGTGCGTGAGTTCATGCCAAATATACAAGAGTCCAACCTTAGCTACCTAGTTGCACTCAACGTTTCCTCCATATAGCCCTAATTCTGCTTTGCTTCCTGTTTGTGGTTTGCTTCCTGCTTGCTTTCCCCTTTTAATAAGTAGCATCCAGTCATGCAAATACTCTGTTTACTCATGAAAAGCATTCCTTTGCTTACGGAGAGGCTCATTTCTCATTGGGTCCAAGCGCTTTAGTGGGGAAGAGGTATAGAAAAAGAAAAGCTTCTTTGTTGTATAGAATTTGATCCATTGTGTCTATTTTTCCTGAACAGAGAGATGCACGTACATTAGAAAACACTGAATGTGTTAAGAGAGGCCAAAGTATGTGAAATAATGATATTTTAAACAATTTATTTTGTATTTGTTCCCTGTGATAACAAGAATGGAAAAAAAAAAGCATTGGGAGCTAGGATAGTGCAATACAAGAACTTGCTGCTGAGATTTGACTAGGTATTTTTACATAGCTATAGATAGGGCTTGTATCTTTTGAGAACATAGACCAGAGATAGTCAACCTTGGCTCTTTTATGACTCGTGGACTTCAATTCCCAGAATTCCTGAGCCAGCTTAGCTGGCTCAGGAATTCTGGGAGTTGAAGTCCACGAGTCATAAAAGAGCCAAGGTTGACTACCCCTGACATAGACGCTGAAATTCTAAACTTCTGTTTTCCGCAGGATCACAAATGCTGAAGATTTTACAAGCATAAAACCGACATTGCTATGTCCATGGTTTTTAACCTGTGCACGCAATGATTCTATGCACCGTGCTAAGCTGCTATTTGTAGAGTCATGTTTTATTGACTATACAAGTGGTAACTGGGCTGGGTGTCTACCACACTAACCCATAAATCATGGCTTGCAAAACAGAATCACTGGATTCGCGCAGTGTGCTGAGCTGCACTGTGATTTGTTTTTTTTGGGGGGGGGCTTATTATTAGTTTAGTAGCATGAGACGCAAACTCAGAAATATATATTCTCCTATCTGAATGTAGCTTCTGAAGTACCTCTTTGTCCAGTCCTTATGACTTCGTGATTATGATGCCTCCTTCTGCATTCCCCACAGACTTTGGATGATCTGGAGGAACGAGTCAAAGAGGCTGGGATCGAAATAACTTTTCGACAGAGCTTCTTCTCTGATCCTACTGTGCCTGTCAAGAATCTCAAGGTATCAGAGTGTGTCTGACTGTCAAGGGAGGGCAGGTTGGGACCCACCATTCCTCCACGCAGCCTTTCCCAACCCTGCCCCCTTTCACACATGGAGGGATTAAGCTTGCCGAACGGCCCAAGAGTATGTTAGGGAAGGTTGTCCTTCATCCCCAGTCGTCAGCTCCATGATTGCACGGGCGAAAGTTGACAACAAAATAATAGACTTTTGGCAGAGTTGTCATGAAACATTTCTCTTGAAAATTGAAAAGCAACACGGACACACTAAGCCAGTGATGGCAAACCTTTTAGAGACCGAGTGCCCAAACTGCAACCCAAAACCCACTTATGTATCGTCGGGTGCCGGGTGGGCGTGGCCCGTTGGGTGGGCGTGGCCCACTGGGTGGGTGTGGCTGCGGTGGTAACGGCAGACTCGGTGGGACTAAAAAGTTCAATCAATCAATTCCAACTTTGCAAGATCTTTTTTTTCCTGTGAGAAGTTGAAATTGATTGATTGATTGAACCTTTTTTTTTTTTGTACATGGCAGTGGAGGCCTAAAGCGAAAAGGTTTTATAAAACCCAGCTGAGGGCCTAGGACTGGGGCGACAGCGCGTGTGCCCATAGAGAGGGCTCTGAGTGCCGCCTCTGGCACCCGTGCCATAGGTTCGGCACTACTGCACTAAGCCTTTGCAAAAGAATTTCCTACAAAACTTGAGCAAATATGTTTGACCCTGTTACCCTGGAACATCTCAACATGGGGGCTAAAAGGGAGACAATTCTACACAGATTAATGATTTTGGTGAATAAATTGTTCTTTAGAAGTGAACCCATTTATCCACGAACTGTATATGATTAACCATGTGCCATTAAATTAATGCTGGCTGGTATTGTATATGTGTCTGTGTGTGCATGTCTGTATGTGTCTGTATCTGTGTATCTGCCTATCAGGTTACTAGTGGACTCCTTGTCTGTGTCAGTGCCTTGTAATCGGCTTTGGAAACATATACGTAGCTTATCTAAGACTGATTAGATTAGCATAAAATAGAGATGGGGGGGAAAGGAACTAAGATTATCTGATGGGCTACCTGCTAATCTATCCCCTACATTTGTTGGGATCAATTTTTTTTTAACTGATGCAATTTGATGTTTGCTGCGATATGTGAAAATAATTTCATACAGACTGAACCACATTTTCAAGTGCTACTTATCTTTAGATTTTTTGGGGGGAATTTAACTTTTGAATGGAATGCAGTGCAATTGATGCAGCCTCTTTGAGAGGCCACTATCCAGAAAGGCTGTGTTGGAATATTAAATTAAATGAATCATGTAATCATAGAGTTGGGAGGGGATCTAAGAGGTCATCAAAACCAACCCTCTGCACAAGATTCCCTACAGCAAGATTCCCTACAGCATCTCTGATAGATGACTATCTGATCATTGTTTAAAAAACTCAGGCAGGGAAAGAAAGTTTCCTACAGTAGCCTATTCCCCTGATTGACCTATTCCACTGATAGACCCCTCTTACTGTCGATACAGATCGTCCTCAAATAACGTCCACAATTGGGACCCAGAATTTCTGTTGTTAAGCAAGGTGGTTGTTAAAATGAATCATGGGCAAATTTATGGCCTTTTTTGCCACAGTTGTTAAGTGAATCACTGCTTTCCCCATTGGCTTTGCTTGCTGGAAGATGGCTGGGAAAGTTGTAAATGGCAGTCACATGACCCAAGGATGCTGCAACCCTCGTAAATATATGCCAATTGCCAAGCACCCAATGTTGATTACATGACTCTGGAGATGCTACAGTTACTAAATCACTTTTTTCAGTGCTGTTGTAGCTTTGAATGGTCGCTAAACAAATGGCTGCAAGTTAAGGACTACCTGTAAGTTCTTCCTAATGAACTATGAAAGCCATTTTGATTTATTGCTTAAGACAACAGATTAGAAATCAGGAGACGGTGAGTCCTAGCACTGCCTTAGGCACAATGCAAACTAGGTATGCTTGTGCGAGTCTGTCTGCTCAGCTGTAGGAAGAAGGAAGAGACAAGGGCAAATCACTTCTGAAATATTACCAAGAAAAATGCAGGGAATTGGCCGTCACTCGGGTTAAAACTGACTCAAAGGCACTAAAATGGCAGATGATAGCTAGATAGATAGATAGATAGATAGATAGATAGATAGATAGATAGATAGATAGATAGATAGATAGATAGATAGATAGATAGATAGATAGATAGATAGATAGATAGATAGATAGATAGATGGATAGATGATACATTTGATATAGATATAGATAACTAGAGATATGATAGATATAAATAGATATAGATATGATAGATGATTAGATAGATAGATAGATAGACAGACAGACAGACAGACAGATAGATAAAATTGATAAGATAGATAAGATAGATAGGTGGGTAGGTAGGTAGATAGATAAATATGATAGATATAGATGGATATGATAGATAGATATGATAGATAGATAGAAAGACAGACAGACAGACAGACATGATAGGTAGATAGATAGAGATGATAGATAGACAGACAGTCAATCTGTATCTGCCTCTTTGAATTTTCATCCCAGTACAGGTAGTCCTCCACTTACAACCATTCATCTAGTGACCATTCGTAGTTACAATACTGGAAAAAGTGACATGATCACTTTCCACACTTACGGAACGTTGCAGGATCCCCACGATGACATGATCATAATCCAGCCATTTGGCAACTAGCATGTATTTATGACGGTTGCACTATCCCGGGCTCATGCGATCACCTTTTCTGACTTTCTGGCAAGTAATGTCAAATGGGGAGGCCAGATTCACTTAACAACTGTGTTACTATCTTAACAACTATAGTGATTCATTTAATGCCTGTGGCAAGAAAGGTCGTAAAATGGGGCAAAACTCACTTAACAAATACCTCACTTAGCAACAGAAATTTTGGTCTCAATTCTGGTGGTAAGTTGAGGACTACCTGTAGTTCTACTTTTAATCCTTGGAGCAAGTAAAAATAAGTCCAAACCTTCTACAGCCCTTCAGCTATCCCAAGGGGAGGCAACCTTGGCTCTTTTATGACTCGTGGACTTCAACTCCCAGAATTCCTGAGCCAGCATGGCTCAGCTTGAAAACCTCTCCCTTTCCCCTCAGCATGGCTGGCTCAGGAATTCTGGGAGTTGAAGTCCATGAGTCATAAAAGAGCCAAGGTTGCCTACCCCTGAGCTATCCTGTTCCCTCACAAATCCTCTCTTCTGCAAACTGAACGTACCTCGGTCTTTCAGCTATTCCTCCTAGGACGTGGCTTCCAGTCCTTGGTAGCCCTTCTCTGGACTTGCTCCAATTTATCAGTGTCCTTTTGAAACTGGGATGTGTGGTCTGACCGAGGCAGAACAGAACAGATAATTACCTCCTGCGATCTGGATGCTCTTCAAGAAGCCGTTGGCATTTGTTGCAGCTGCCTCGGTCGTTCTGGGGAAGTCGTCTAGGGTTGTCTCCTAAATGAGAAATCCCTTTATGATCTTTTCCCTCTGTTGTTAACCTTTCCAGCAAAAAAAAAAAACAAGCGAGGCCCCCTGGCCTGCATCCAGCAGTGCAGCTTCCACCCTCCCTGGATCATAATTGCTGTGGGCTCCCAGACAGGACAGATCCATCACAGCCGGTTGAGCCGCCTGCTGGAGAGAGAAAGACAGCTATCACTGCGATTCTCTTGTCCTAATGGCAGCTGCCAATCTCTGAACTAAGAGACTGGGCAGATTCTCCTCCTTCTGATGGTTGCTACTCAGGAAGGAGGTGATGCCTCTGGAATGAATGTACCAAATGCCATCTTAGTGGCAGTACTTAACTTTTTCATGGGTTCTTTAAAAAGCGGAGCAAAGCTAAGATGAACATAAGCTGGTAGCACTCTAGAGGGCTGTGACCCACCTCCTTTCCTAAGGGAAAAAGTGATGGCCTTTGTTCCTACGGAAGGAAATATGCCCCACTCAGTTTGCCCCGTGCTGGTTGGGGACTTCTGGGAGTTGAAGTCCACACATCATAAAGTTGCCAAGCCATTATAGCAGGGGTGTCAAACTCAATTTCATTGAGGGCCACATCAGCATTGGGGTTGCCCTCGGGGGCCCGGGTGGGTGCGGCCAGGGTGGGTGCGGCCTACTGGGTGGGCATGGATGGAGTGGGTGTGGCCTACTGGGTGGGCATGGCCAGCTCTACATCGTTCGCGTCAAGGGTGCCTGTGGGGGCCTGGGCAGAAGTGGGACAGATCTGAGGGTCTCTGGCAGAAGGGGGTGGGACTGGGGCAAGCACCAAGGCATGGTCCATGTCTTCATTCCTCACAAAGGGTGACACCTCCCCAGCATGCACGCAAAGGGCGGGGCTGACACAGCAGGGGCTGGTTCCTCGCTGTTTCCAGACGGCCTTGTGGAGCTAAGATTGAATGCGTTTCAGCATAGATGGCCACCACAAAATTGTACATTGGCTCCCGGCCGGCCTGGGCCAGGGCCAAGGCAGCAGGGGCCGTTCCCTCACTGTTTCCAGGATGGCTTCGCGGGCCACATGAAACCACTTTGCGGGCCGCATCCGGCCCCCGGGCCTTGTGTTTGACATGTCTGCATTATAGGCACTGCAGCACTTTCCCCCCCACACTTAGCGGAAGCTATAATGGGACCAGAAAACTTGGGCTCCATGCTCCTCTTCCCAATTTCTAGAAGAGCCCAGTCGCAACAGGTACTTCCCACGTCTAAAAAAAAAAATCTAATGGCCCAGTTCAGCCGCCTGCGTTAATAATTTATGGCGCAAAATGACAAGATTTGTCAGACTTGGCTCTGCCAAAAAAGGAAACAAGGAGCTAGGGTGCGGGCTTCGCCGAGCGCCTTGTCTGCTTCAAAAATGCAGAATTCCCAGCTAAGCTGTTCTGACACAGAGTACGCCACTTGATTAACCGTAAGTTCAGGACAGACAAAAAGAAGAATGTCTTCACGCAATGAATAATGAAGTCAGAAATATGTGCCTCGAATGTACAGTGGCTGCTTTTTAAGAGGTCTGAACAAATTAAGCACCGTGGCTGATTGAGATACAGGAGCAGAGGGAAGGGAAGGAAAGGAAAGGAAAGGAAAGGAAAGGAGACATCTATCCTACAGCTTCCTCCTTCAATTTAGGGCAGCAGTTCTCAACCTATGGGTCGCGACCCCATTTGGGGTCGATCGACCATTTCACGGGGGTCACCAAGCAAGGCTGTCCGCCATTTTTTTCCCCTTTTCCGGCGGGTGCCTTACCTCCCCTGAGCTGGGCCAGCTGGTGGTCGGCCTGCTCCGTCTCTGCCGCTTGCCAGCTACGCCTCAGCCGGCGCAGGGGGCGGAACCACGCATGCGCGGCGCTCCCAGGCAGGGAAAGTCCTTGACTTATGACCGGTTGGGTAGTCCTTGACTTACGACCGGTTTAATCCTCGACTTACGACCAGTTTAGTCCTCGACGTACGACCGGTTTAGTCCTCAACTTACGACCGGTTGGGGGTCGCGGCATTAAAAAGGTTGAGAACCACTGATTTAGGGCTTTTCAGATATGATATACAGTATTTAACCCTCTGTTGGCCCTAGTGGCTGAGGATTATGGTAATTAGGATCCAGCACAGAAGGAGAATAACACCAAGTTGGGGAAGGCTGGCCTTTGGCTTGATTCTACAGGTTTTTGAGCTCCTTTTTACTAATTGTTCTACTATCTGTTGGAATTTTGTCATTTTAATACCTTGCCTGTCTATCTGTTATCCGTGTATAGACCAATATTATAAGAGAGAGTAATAATGACTTCCGGAAGTCTTAGCAAAATAACACAGTCCCCACATAAAGCAAAACGCGTTTCCATTTACCCACTTGAGCTAATAGAAAACAGAAACTATTGTTACAGCTGCACTTACCAATATGTAGAGGTGATCTTTCCCTCTGTGTGCGTGAAAGGAATAAAATGGTGCTTATGTTGTGAGGCTCAAGGTGTAATTGCAGTTGGTGTGTGGGTGCGTACCTGTGTGCATGCAGTATTTCTGTCCTCGGTTAGCTGATTGGCAGGTTATATTCTTGGGATTGGTTAAGATTTGGGAATTCATGGTCTGAAAGGGTGAGTTTGCAACCGTGGGAAGGTGCAGTGGGGAATATCTTTCTTGCAGTGTTCTAAGTGGCATTTATATGATTTCAATCTATTTAATGGAAGCATTAAGTATATTGGATAGTACAGGCAGTCCTTGATTTGCGACCACAATTGGAACTAGAATTGCTTTGTTGCTAAGCAAGGCAGTTGTTAAATGAGCCATGCCTGACTTTACAACCTTTTTTGCCCTGGGTATTAAGCAAATCAGTGTAATTGTTAAGTGAATCATGCAGTTATTAAGCAAATCCAGCCTTCCCCATTGACTTTGTTTGCCAGCTGGGAAGGTTGCAAGTGGTGATCGGGGGCTCCAGGATGATGCCACCATCATAAGTACATGCTGATTGCCAAGCATTCGATCATGTAACTGTGAGGATGCTGCGACGGTCATAAGTGCAAGGACTGATTATAACTCACTCTTTTCAGTGACGTCCTAACTTTGAACAGTCGATAAATGAATGGTTATAAGTTGAAAACTAGCTGTGTGCTGGATAGTAATGAATATGAACAGAAATGCAATTGTGTATATATGTATGCAAATACGTCTCATGAAAACATGAGTGATTCCCACCATCAGCATCATTTAGATAGAATAGAGCTGGAAGGGACCTTGGAGGTCTTCTAGTCCAACCCCCTGCTCAAGCAGGAGAACCTATACCATCTCAGACAGGTGAATGTCCAGTCTCTTCTTAAAAATCTCCAGTGATGGAGCACCCACAATTTCTGGGGTAAGTTGTTCCACTGGTTGATTGTCCTCACTGTTAGGAAGTTTCTCCTTAGTTCCAGGTTGCTTCTCTCTTTGATCAGTTTCCAACCATTGTTTCTTGTCCTTCCCTCTGGTGCTTTGGTGAACAATATGACCCCCTCTGCCTTGTGGCAGCCCCTCGGATACTGGAACACTGCTATCATGTCTCCCCTATTTCTTCTTTTCTTTAGACTAGCCAGACCCAAGTCCTGCAGCCGTTCTTCGTATGTTTTAGTCTCCAGGCCTTGGATCATCTTAGTTGCTCTTCTCTGAACTTTTTCCAAACTCTCAACAACTTTTTTGTGATAAGGTGACCAAAATTGGCTGCAGTATTCCAGGTGTGGTCTTACTAGGGTTTTATAAAGCGGTAATAAACTTGACTTGTTTCTGTGGCAAAGTCCTCTGGTCATCTGATTCCACTTTTTTTTCCCCTTTTCAGCGTCAGGACGCTCGCATTATCGTTGGGCTGTTTTACGAGACTGAGGCACGAAAGGTTTTCTGTGAGGTGGGTACACGGAGTTCTCTGAGCAGAACAGAGAATGCAGATAAAATGTTTTCCTAGCTCCCTTCTGCTTCGGCTTCTGGGAAATTAGCATTAGTGGGTATGATGATGGCACTAATTTGACGAACTGTTGCATGCCTTGTGCGCTGGGGCTGCTGTATATGCGCTCGGCTTTGTTACTTTCCAGTGCTTAGTGCATAGCAAATCTCCCCACGCTTCCTTCCGCCTACCTGTATGTACTCAATGAAACCCTTTCTGTACTGTAGTGGTGTGATCTCCTGCTGCCTGGAAATGCGGCTTCCTCTGTTTGCGAGTCAACCTTCTTTTATTCCTCCTTTGTGAATGGTGGCAGGTATATAAGGAGCGTTTGTTTGGAAAGAAATATGTCTGGTTCCTGATTGGCTGGTATGCTGACAACTGGTTCCGCATCAAGGATGCAAACATTAATTGCACGGAAGAAGAGATGAGGGAGGCGGTGGAGGGACACATCACCACGGAGATCGTCATGCTGAACCCAGAAAACACCCGCAGCATCTCTAATATGGTGAGGAAGAGCCGCAACAGGCAAGGAACACGGCCAGATCTTTCGAAAATGAAAACCCAGTTAATCCGCGGTAGCCAAAACCAGAAGAAGGCCTGACAGTGCCTTTTTAGCGGAATACGTTCTATTGAAAGACATAAGCACCTGGTCTTCCCCCCCTCTGTCTCCTCTTCCCTGACCTCATCTTTAATTTAAACCTTGCATCGATTTTCCCACCCTGTGCATTTGATGAAGTGAGCTGTAATTCAAAAGGCTTAGGCCTGCCAGACTCCTCCTGATTTTTAAAATAGACTTGCAAATTTATTTAGGAATTACATTCCTTGGTTCGGACCTATTTACTCTGCAGATGATTTGGCAGTATCCAATGGCACGCTAACAACATGTAAAATAATTACATATTTTCTTTTCTTACAGACCATTAATCAAAATCATATACACTGGCAGGAGATTATTTTTAATATTGTTCAAGTTAAGCAAATGCATTTTTTTTTTCACAAAGATGCTCCCCGGTTTTATTAAAAGGAAAACAAGATTGTTTCGTGAAATGTTCCTTCCCGTTTAAAAAGAGCTGAATCACCGTATAAAGTAATATTTCTAATTCAATTAAAATTAGAGTCCAGAGTTTTCTTTTGAGCAGCTGAATGGTTATTGATTTCTCTAATAAGATTAATTCTCCTTTTAGATTAATTCTCCTTTTAGAAAACCATACATTCTTTTCCATTTAATTATGAAACAGACTACAATAAATCTGAATCAATATTATTCTCAAACTTTTTTACAGCAAGATTTCTGTTTTTAATCTGTTTATAAGCCATCTAATAATACTAAGAACATAATCTCAAAGCAGTGTACAATAAAAATTAAATAAAATAACATTAAAAATACAAAATATAATAACATAATAAAAATAATATGCTAGAATTAAATCATGCAAACAATTTTTAAAACGATCTAAATGGAACAATGCATTCCAGCAGAAAAGCCTGGCTAAAGAGGAAAGTTTATAAAAGCATCAAAACCACAGAGCAATTATATTACCCAATAATGGTATTTTACTGCTTGGCAAATATAAAATACTTTACATATTTTATGGAAGTACTAAATCCTGTTTATTTATAAAAGTTGCATTTCACTTTTTGCTGTTTCTTTTTCTTTATTAAAGCAATCCCAATATTTATCAATTTCTGCAACAAGGAAGAATGTTGTTTTTCTTGGTTCCCTACAGACATCAGAGGAATTCATTGAGAAACTGACAAAGCGTGTAGAGAAATCTCCGGAAGAGACTGGGGGTTTCCAGGAAGCCCCATTGGCTTATGATGCCATCTGGGCACTAGCCCTTGCGTTGAACAAGACCTCAGCTGAACTGGTAAAGAAAGGGCTGCGTCTTGAAGATTTCAATTACAACAACCAAACCATTACAGACGAGATCTACCGAGCACTCAACTCTTCAGCTTTTGAGGGGGTCTCGGTGAGTGATCCCTTGAAACTGATCTCCTGAAGGCAGGAAATCTGGTGTGCAGAATATTCAGGATCTATCCATAGGCAAGTCTGTCAGAATTCTGGGTCATCTAGCAAGATTATTTTGAGTAAGATCAAAAATCCTGCCTTCTCCTTCCAAGCCTATTTGAATTTTTAGAGCTTTTGGTTTTAGGGGTAGTAGTAATAGGTTGTCAAGAAACACTGATGGGAGGAAAAAAAGAAATATATACAGAAGTATTAGTACAGGATGGGGGCATGATGGGCTAGTGCAGGGATCCCCAACCTATGGTCCGTGGCCCGGGACTGGGTCCTGGGCTCTTGGCCAACGGGCCGCGGAAACAGCTGGCCCGTGCGCACACATGCGTGGACGCACATTTTCACCCCCCACTCACGCTAGTGCCCACGGCCCATTTGTGCATGCACGCAGGTGCGAACGGGAATGCTAGCGCAGGACGGGTGTCCGCAGCCCATTCACGCATGCGCCGCTAGCCCGGTTGGTTTGCACAACCATTCGTGCATGCGTGAACGAAGCTGCTAGTGCGTGGCCCCGTGTGTGTGTGGCACCAATTTTAAACTTGCTCTCCTTTCCTCCGGTCCTCGAGCCCGGAAAGGTTGGGGACCTCTGGCCTAGTGGTTAAGACTTGACCAAAAGGTTGGCAGTTTGAGATCTAAGTACCACGTGATGGAGTGAACTCTTGTTCTTTCCTTCGTTCCTCTAACCTAGCAGTTGAAAAGTATGCAAAATGCAAGTAGATAAATAGGTACCACTTCGTTGGGAAGGTAACAGTGTTCCGTGCACCTCGGCGTATAGTCATGCTGGCCACATGACCACAGAAGCTTCTTCAGACAACATTGGCTTCCTTGGCTAAAGAAGTGGAGATGAGCACTGCCCCCTAGAGTCAGATACGATTGGGCAGGGGAAACGTTTACCTTTACCTTTTATTAGTACAGGACATATAATACTAAGGAAAAGGTCACGAAAGATAGCAAATCAAGGATAGGTCTCCCGGTTGCAGAACAAAAACTACTTTGTCCATGACCTTTCACTGAGGTTACATGTACACTTTCAGGTACAGTGTTTCTTCACAACGATGACTTACTCCTCAGAACTACTTGTCCCATATTTTTGAAAACCGAGATTCTCAGAAACTTTGCTCTGGAACTCAGACACAAGATCGAAATATCACTTGAATGGAACCGTACGACCTAGAGTCACGTTGACTCAGCTTCTTGATTTCACATCCTTGTATGATAACTGCCACGTTTCTCCTCTGAAGCTTCTTCCCCACCAGAGAAAAACAGTCGTTCTTTCTCTTATTGTTGGGATGTGGGACTCTGCCCCAATTACTGCTGGCAAGAGAGCCAAACTAGGTTGCCACCATGAGGATCTTCTCTTAACACGGTTTCCTTCGCTCCCCAGGGACATGTGGTCTTTGATGCCAGTGGCTCTCGGATGGCCTGGACCCTCATTGAGCAGCTTCAGGGTGAGTCCTCGGGAGGCTCCACACTAAGGGTTTTCCCATAGATTGCAACATCAAGCTGACTCCCATGCCAAACAGTTGCCAAAACATCAGACTCACATCATTTCTGCCCTTTAATCCTCTTTTTTCCCCTCAGTGCACACAGGTATGCTGTAATTTCCATTTTGGATTTTTATTTTTATTTTTGGACAGGTAGTCCTTGACTTACAGCAGTTCATTTAATGACCATTTGAAGTTGCAACGGCACTGAAAAAAATGACTTAAGGCCATTTTTCACGCTTATGGCCATTGGGCATCCCCAGGGCCGTGTTATCAAAATTCAGATTCCAGGCAACTGAGTCATATTTATGACGGTTGCCGTGTGTCCCGGGAGGGGGAGGGGTGTCACGTTATCCCCTTTTGTGACCTTCTGACAAGCAACGGCAATGAGGAAGCCAGATTCACTTAACACAACTGTGTAACTAACTTAACTACAGCGATTCACTTAACAGCTGTGACAAGAAAAGTCGTAAAATGGGGCAAAACTCACTTAATGAATTTCTCACTTGTGGTTGTAAATTGAGGCCTGTACTGAATGCCTTTTAATTTGCACGATTCATTTTGTTCCTCCTCCCCTCCCCCCTTCCTTTGCTATTAATTGGGTGTGTGCCAATAACCCTGCAGTATAATTTATGTCACTAGGGGTTTACTTTTCCCCTTCATTCAGAGTGATGGGGAAATGTTTTTTCTCTGTGTTCTTCATACCTGCACTTTTGCACAACTCTATAGAAATCCTACCCTTTGAATAAATAGACACAATACACAGACAAACACACCTGAAATGGACTTCTGCTGCAACATAGCTGTACATCCTGTTTAGAGGATTTTGTGGAGAAACGGCAAAGTCAGTTGTGTGTCACCAGTTTCCAGGAAATTATTGCTCTTACAATTGTGTTCTCTCCCTATTACATTTTTTTTTTGAGATTACAGCTGGTAGAAATATACTGCTGAGAAGATGCTCTAAAACAAAGGCTTGCATTTAACAGTACCATAGATTGTGAATCAAACAACTGTGCTTGGGAGCAATGCCATTTCTTGCCACGTTACACAAAGCTGTATAATATCCCACCGAGGGCAAGGAATTATTCAACATTACAATGATCAGCGCCTCACAATAAATACTGTATAATTATGTAGAAATGTTCCATTCAGCATAATTATATAGGATTTATTTTAGCGTGTTTCCTTTTATAAAAGGCAATCAGGTGTGGCTATGCTCTTGCTATTTTTTTTAAAGATTCAGTTCCGGCATTCTGACAGTTTAAAAACTGGTCCAATAGTCTATCTTTCCGTAAATCCATTACTTGATTCTTCTATTGTCTGGAATTCTTCTCTCTGCCAACAGATGGTGTCTATAAGAAGATTGGCTATTATGACAGCACCAAGGATAATCTCTCCTGGTATAACAATGACAAGTGGATTGGTAAGAGACTGAAAGATGTTCGTTGTGAGTAGGAGTGTGCAAAATATTTTGAGCTCAAAGTGTTTTAAGTGTTCTGAGCTTAAAATAAAATAATATTGTTTTGTTCCAAACTTCAAACAAAATCATTTCGAGCAATGGCGTTTTGACTATTTTGGATATAAGTAAACACTAAAATACTGCTTCGAACTGTAGCTGGCGATTTCAAGTGTTCCAAGATCAAAACAAAGTTGTACATTCCAACAGTTTTATTCTGAGGTCACAAATTGAGACAAAATCCTGAAGTTTTGTGCTGCTGTAACACAGCCAAGTGATCATTTCAACAGAACATCTCAAGTAAATCAGTATAAGACATTTTCTTTCTTTCTTTTTTTTTTTTGAAAATTTTATAAAGTTTTACAATATAAATCCCCCCCTTCCCCAACCCACCCTTCCACTCCCCCCTCCCTCCCCCCTCACTTCCCAGTGCCAATCACAGGGTTAATAAAATAATCATACTCTAACTAACATTAACCAACTATTAAAATAACATATCTATAACCTCCTTTAACTCTCTTTTAAACAAATATACAGTTATTAAAAACAATAATAATAACATCACTTTAATAATTAAAAATAGTACTAAATAAACTATTCTAACCTTTATACAACAATAATACTCTAAAATATACTCAAAAACCAAATGATATTTTTTGGTCCCATATTTACGCTCAATATAATCTATCCATCTTCTCCAAACCGAGATATATCTTTCTTGTGAATAGTCCTTCACATAAACGGAGATCTTGGCCATTTCTGCTAAATTTGAGACTTTAAGTGACCATTCTTCTATAGTGGGTAAACGTTCCGTTTTCCAATATTGAGCTACTAGTAGTCTTGCAGCAGTTATAAAGTTCAACATCAATTCCATTTCTTTTGCATCCAAGTCTTCCATAATACCCAACAAAAATATCTGCGGCTTAAACTTTACCTTTTTCTTAAAAATATTTTGAATATTTTGACATTTTCGATTACTTAAAGATACAATTCAATTCTTTCCAATTTATCTGAGGCTATTTAACAAGTGAGTCAGAATCACTAATAGTGAAATTGTAGGGTGAGGAACTTAACAGGTAGACAGATATGAATCAACTCCCAGTGCATATCTGAGCTAAAGATGGGATTTAGATTTGAAAAGGTGAAACCTAGCAGTCTAGTTATTTCCTTGAGGCCTAAAAATGTTCTCAACCCAGGCTTAGACATCCTGGGAGCATCTATACTGACTTACAGTAGATAATGATTCATTTCAAGAACAATTAAGGCAAAGAGTATATTCTTCACAGTGATGGACAAAGGATCACACTATAAATAAGTGGTTCTCAACCTATGGGTCGCAACCCCATTTGGGGTCGATCGACCATTTCACGGGGGTCGCCAAGCAAGGCTGTCCGCCATTTTTTTCCCATTTTCCGGCGGGTGCCTTACCTCCCTTGAGCTGGGCCAGCTAGTGGTCGGCCTGCTCCGTCTCTGCCGCTTGCTGGCTACGCCTCGGCCGGCGCAGGGGGCGGAACCACGCATGCGCGGCACTCCCGGGCAGGGAAAGTCCTCGACTTACGACCGGTTGGGTAGTCCTCGACGTACGATGAGTTTAGTCCTCGACTTACGACCGGTTGGGGTCGCGGCATTAAAAAGGTTGAGAACCACTGCTATAAATGGTAGGAATGGGGTCAGATAAATGAGATATTTTAGAGGTTTCCACTTCTTTGTATGCATGTGGGTTAATGACCATCTTTGTACGAATTTAAGTATTGTGTGAATTTCATAATTCAGCATTCCGTGTCTGCCAAGAGACTCACCTTGGGAAATGCTTCATGCATGGGTTGAGTCAGGAGGAACTGCTTAGCCTCAGGCAATGCATCTTTTAAGCTTCTCAGGTTACCATAGGGAAACATCCCTGGATGTGGTTAGTCTTTGTGGATCTTTCTGGTGAAAAAGCCTGTGATGTGAATTCCTTTCTTCTTCCCATATCTTCCATTGCAGGTGGTGTCCCACCAGCAGATTATACTAAGGTCATCATCACCTTCCGGTACCTTTCCCAGAAGCTCTTCATTTCTGTTTCGGTGCTCTCAAGTTTGGGTATCCTGTTGGCCATCATTTGCTTGGCCTTCAACATCTACAATGGGCATGTCAGGTGGGCGATACTTTATTTATTTATTAATTTTATATGCCGCTCATCTCACTGACAAGTGATTCTACTTAATACATCCAGCTTCTTTTGCTAAGTGAAAATTTGTAGTTCTCTAGTAGAAGACATACTTTGCATTCAAAGTCCCATTCCCAATATATCCAGAACGTCTGGATTTTGAAACTCTGGAGAACCATTGCCAATCAGGACAGATCAAGTGTGAGGAACCTATAGCAGTCTAGATCAGCGGTTCTCAACCTATGGGTCGCGACCCCATTTGGGGTCGATCGTCCATTTCACTGGGGTTGCCAAGCAAGGCTGTCCGCCATTTTTTTCCCCTTTTCCGGCGGGTGCCTTACCTCCCTTGAGCTGGGCCGGCTGGTGGTCGGCCTGCTCCGTCTCTGCCGCTTGCCAGCTACACCTCGGCCGGCGCAGGGGGCAGAACCACACATGCGCGGTGCTCCCGGGCAGGGAAAGTCCTCGACTTACAACCGGTTGGGTAGTCCTCGACTTACAACTGGTTTAGTCCTCGACTTACGACCGGTTTAGTCCTCGACTTACGACCGGTTGGGGGTCGCGGCATTAAAAAGGTTGAGACCCACTGGTCTAGATATTGTCACATTTTAATGCTTATCAGTTCCCCAATCTGACAACTTCCAGTTATGTTGGGATTTCAATTCCCAGAATCCCCTGCCAGCACAAGTTGAGAATCTGAACAAAGGTACCATGTTAGAGTCAACTGAAAAGGGAATATCTAGTCATAATGAGGTGGCTTCTTAGATGGTACTGAAGGGCGTATTCACCCAAAACAATCAAAATGATTAAGCATTTGTTTATTTCACTTAAGCATGGTAAGGCTCTTTCAGGATCCAATTCAATGATTCAAAAACATAAATTAGAATATTTTTTTGAAATCAAATTGAATCTGATTGCTTTTAAAATTGGTTAGTCAAAATGGATTTTGTCTAGCTCATTCAGCCATAATACTTTATTTTGATTTATAGTAATTTGGAAGCAGAGAGCTGGTGGCTCGAACTCTTTGTATTCCAAATTCTGCTTGGAGCTTGACACTGCCCTTCTTTTTTTACAGATACATCCAAAACTCACAGCCATATCTCAACAATATGACAGCTGTGGGCTGTGCACTGGCCCAGGCAGCTGTCTTCCCACTTGGGTTGGATGGCCTTCACATCAGCAGAGACCTCTTCCCTTTTGTTTGCCAGGTACATCATGGCTGCTCTAAAGCTTTAGAGAACATCCTGGTAGTTTAATAGCTAAACAAAGAGCAGGAAACCTGAGGCCTCTATGTGCCACTGAAGTACATTTCCCAGCAATCTTAACCAACTTACCTAATGGTAAATGATGCTAGGAGCTACAATCCTGTAGTTTCTGGAGAACCACAGTTACCAGCCCTGGATTATTCATGTACCCAAGACCAATTTCTGAATTTTTCTTTAGTGAAGTCTTCCCTGTTTCTAATTCCATTTTAGAATTGAGAGCTATCATGGAAACCAATGGACATTGGAATAGGCAGCATCATATCTACTCCCATATCAGTGCCCCCCAAAGTTGAACCCTAACTAGGGTTTTCTTTGTGTGAAAAAATACATTTTTAAGACATTCCTAAGTATTTAAATGTATTAGTATGCAGTCAAAAGTATAAATTCCTCTGTCAGTGCTAGATTTTGAGGGGATGGTGTTAGGAAGCCAACCTTTGCTCAACCAGAATTGCGTTTTATAAAGGAAATACTGTATCTCACCCCACATGCTGTCTTAACAGTGGACAATACTGTATTGCTGTTGTAAACATTTTATTTTAAACAAAGACCTCCATCCCACCATATGATAAATAAATACATAGCGATGTTATTATTAGAGGCAAAAATATTTTTAAATAATATTTATTAAGATATTTTACAAAGATAACAATAAATAGATTCAAAGAAAAATATATAGCAAAGTAAATGGGAAAAAGAAAAATGGGAAAAGGAAAAAGAAAAGAAGATATAGAAAAGAAAAATGAAAAACCAGAAAGCATGTATTTAAAAAAAATGGCTTTCAGTATTCCTCTTGGCAGTTATATGTATGCTCCTATTCAAACCATTCTCCAATTTCATTATAATTCCATTCTTTCTATAATCTATTCTTTCTGAGCATCAAAACCATAAATCACAAGGTCATTTTCTTTCTCAAGCAAAAATATCTATAAGAGATTTCCAGTGATTGATGTATGTCAATAATGACCTTTCTCTAATCAAAGAAGTCAATTTTCCATCTCAGCAAGTTCTGTCAATTTCACCAACTATTCTTCCCTAGTGGATAGTGCAGATTCTTTCCATCATTGTGCATATAATAATCATGCCACAGTAATCATACATTGAAATAATCTTCCATGGCTCTTTTCTAACCATTTATCCATCTATCCTAACAAGAAAAATTCTGGCTTCAATAGAATATTAATCTTTAAAACCCTCTGCATCAAGGTATGCATGTGAATCCTATTTTTTAAACATTTTTAGATGTCTACCAAGCAAGTCCACTCATGTTGGTCATATTTCAACACATATTTGAATTGCCCTTATACATTCTTGATATTTTTTCTGCCATCATGTAGCACTAATAGATCATTTTATAAAACTTCCTGTTTATAAGATAAGATAAGATAAGATAAGATAAGATAAGATAAGATAAGATAACCTTTATTGTCATTTTTTTTACTGTGGGCACAACGGCACACATCAAAAATGAAATTTAGTTGCCCGCTCTCAAAGTGATCATAATGTACATTTCAGCCCATTTAACCTTGTATTTTCCCATTGATTCATCTGTATGTTATAACCAAAGTTCTTAGCCCACTTTATTATGCATTGTTTAACTTGTTCTTCTTCAGTTTTAAATTTCAACAAAAGTTTATACATTTTAGCAATTGCATCTTCACCACTGGTACACAATTAATTTCAAATTCTGTCTGACCTTGCCCCATATCATAAGTCTTTTTATCCATTTTAAATCTTCCTGATGACTGTAAATGGGAAAACCATTGACACAATGACTATTTCTCTGTCATTAATTGCTCTCTTGGTTTGATTTTTTTATTCCCCTTGGTGATTTTTCAATAATTTCTTTAGTGTAATCATTTGTCTTTGCTGCTTCTCTTCTATAAAATGCTTTTTGTGCTGAGATCCTCAGAGGTGTTTTTGGGCTCAGTCTGGAGTTATATCTATTCCATACTTTCAAAATGGCACATCTAATAAAATGGCTTTTAAAATCCACATTAACTTTATGATATCAAAATACCATAAATGTACTGCAAAATACAATTTCAGGTCTGGTTAACCCAATCCTTCTCTGCCCTTTACATCTTATAACTCTTTATATTTAACTTGTATATTTTCCCTTGCCATACAAATTTAAATATATCTTTTTACCATTGCTTGAATAGTACATAGGTTTTTAAAACATCACTCTGGGCAAAACATCTTTATCAAATAAATTCTCCCTAATAGTGACAGTTTTAATTTCTTCCATATTAACATGTCCTTTTTAATTTCATTCCAGATCTAAAATAATAATTTCAAAATAATATGATTCATATTATAATTTGATTCATATTCATCATCATAATACCCAAGTATTTACTTTTTAAAAAATCTTAAACCAGTTTTCTCCATCAGTTCTATTAGATCTTCTGTTTTCATATTTTTGTAGGCATCTTTGTCTTTTGACTATTAATCTTAAAACCTGCTAGCATACCAAAGACCTTTAATTTTCTCATTAATGTTTCAACTCCATCTAGTAGAGCTTCCAAAACTAACACCAGGTCATCTGCAAAAGGCTTCTTATAAGTTTCTTTTTTTATCTTATTCTAGTGATTCTTATGTTATTTTATGTCTATTCAGTAAAACAAGACGAGACAGCAGGCATCCTTGACTTTTTTTGAATCTCACAGAGTTTTATTAGTTATCTATTAAAGCTCATTTGTGCTTTCCATGAAGGGCAAATTGATCTTACCTATTTAATAAAATTATCTCCAAGATTCATATGTTCTAGAACTTTAAATAAGAAAATCCAGTTCAAAATGTCGATGCATCTGAGAAGATCAGTGCAGAATTGTTTTTCATTGTGTTGCTCCAAATACTCCAAAATAACCAAAACATTTCTAATATTATCTCGTAATTTTAGGTCAAAACACACGAATAAAGTCCCATAAAATTAAGGCAGAACAAAATCTGATTGGCTACTGATTCTTGAAATACCTTGTGCTGTTGAGCTCTACCGGGTAGATAATAGATTAAAGTCTTTGCCAGAGCCCCTGTAGAAGTTGTGACATAAAAACAGATGAAAAGGTTTGCCACAACCTTCAATGGAAACTGTGGCATTTAGTTGGCACAGTTGGCAGCTTGTGGAACTTACCAAATTTCATTAAAAGTGTTCTTTGAAAGACTATTGAATGCTAGTCTGCTAGTCTCACTGATGCTATGTAAACCCAAGGCTGTTTTCAGATTGTTATGCATGAAGGTCACAACATCCCACAATTTGGGGAAAACCTTTAATAGGCAGCACAGCACATTTTCAATCATAGCATTTCTAACCTGCAATATTACAACGAAGAAACGCGCCTAAATTGGAAACAGTGAGGGAACGGCCCCCGCTGCCTTGGCCCTGGCCCAGGCCGGCCGGGAGCCAATGTACAATTTTGTGGTGGCCATCTATGCTGAAACACATTCAGTCTTAGCTTCACAAGGCCGTCTAGAAACAGCGAGGAACCAGCCGCTGCTGTGTCGGCCCCGCCCCCTGGGTGCATGCTGGGGAGGTGTCGCCCTTTGTGAGGAATGAAGAAATGGACCATGCCTTGGCGCTTGCCCCAGTCCCACCCCCTTCTGCCAGAGACCCTCAGATCTGTCCCACTCCTGCCCAGGCCCCCACAGGCACCCTTGACGCGAACGATGTAGAGCTGGCCATGCCCACCCAGTAGGCCACACCCACTCCAACCCAGCCCACCCAGTAGGCCACACCCACCCGGCCCCCCAGAGGGCAACTGCAATGCTGATGCGGCCCTCAATGAAATTGAGTTTGACACCCCTGTTTTAAACCATTACATCATTGACACCATTTAGGTGGCCTCAGTTCTGAAATAACAGAATAACCAAGTCAGAAAGGACCTTGGAGGTCTTCTAGTCCAACCCCTTGCTCAAGCAGGAGACCCTTTACCATTTCAGACAAGAGGCTGTCCAATCTGGCACCACAACGTTTGGGAGGCAAGCCATTTAATAAGATTTAATGTTTAATAACATTTTTCAAATGAGAGAGACTTCAGGTGGTCCTCTATCTCCAGGTAGTCCTTGACTTATGACCACAATTGAGAACTGAGCCCAAAATTTCTGTTGCTAAGCAAGACAGTTGTTAAGTGAATTTTGCCCCATTTTATGACTTTTCTTGCCACAGCCATTAAGTGAATCACTGCAGTTGTTAAATTAGTAACATGGTTGTTAAATGAATCTGGATTCCATATTGACTTTACCCGTCAAAAGGTCTGAAAAGGTGAGCCCATGACCCTGGGACACTGCTATACCATTGTAAATATGAGTCAGTTGCCAAGCATCTGAATTTTGATCAGGTGACCATGGGGATGCTGCAATGATCTTAAGTGTGAAAAACTGACACAAATCACTTTTTTCAGTGTCGTCGTAACTTGGTCACTAGTTGAACTGTTGTAAGCTGAGAATTACCTGTAGTGTTAGAAAATTCATCATCTCTCTGTGGTAGGCTATAGATACCTCTCGGGAAAGTCCCAGCTTCTCTTGGTTGATTAAGAGCTTTGAGGAAGTTCTGACATTCTTTTCTGATGAGATATTCTAAAGGAAGCTATTGACTTAATATGGATTTTAGAACTAGACAAATCTGATAGTAAATGGTTCTGCTTTCTTACTATTCTTTCCCCTACCCCACTTCCAGGCTCGGCTTTGGCTCTTGGGTTTGGGTTTTAGCCTTGGCTATGGCAGCATGTTCACCAAAATCTGGTGGGTACATACCGTCTTCACCAAAAAGGAAGAGAAAAAAGAACGACGGAAGGTCTGTGTTTTGTCTTGTTACCACTCTGGGCTGAATCATTCAAACGAAGCGAGTAGTACAGAGAAAGCATTTGGATGTACCTTGTCTTTCCTTTGAAAGCTATTATTCTTGGAAACAATTCCAAATTGGCTTGAGACCACACCAGGACAGAAATGGCAATATTTGCTCAAAAGTTACAAGGGTGTTCATCGTTTTCTATTCCGCAGGAATTTAATCTTGAAATCATACCACACCCTTGTTCCACTAAAATAATTGTTGATCGAGATTAGAGTTCCCTACTCTACCAGATACTTTATCTTTTATATCTGGTGGGTGTGTCCTTAGGTGAAAGGGTTTGACACAGAAGTTCATAAATCTTAGCAACATCCAGATCTAACCCAGTGTATTTACATCTGAGTTTTGCTACAGTTTATGACTGGCTGCAGATTTGGAGGGGAGGACACCATTTTCGGGGTGGGAGGATTAGCAAATTTGATCTTATAACCATACTAAAGAAAAAGCGTAATAAATAAATTGTCAGTGTTCCTTAGCCCTGTTCCTTGCTTTTTTCCTCTGTGCGTGTGTCCTTAGCCTCTTGTTGAAACACTGCTGAACTTTGCTGTTTTGTTTTGATTTATTGCTTTACGGTGTTGTTTTCTTACATTTATGTTGATAAGTTTCCCAAGGAACTGTCACTGCAGGAACAGAACTTAAATTCATAGGCATGTTTATATTAAATCAGACCATTGAACCATCCAGCCTGGTATTGTTGTGACTGGGATAGGTTTCTCCAGTCCTCTCTGAATACAAAACGGGAATTTGGAATTGGGGGGGAAATCTATTTGTACACAGCTTGTCTCCCAGGACATCTTTGTGTTGTCTTATTTATTACTTTAAGCCCACTTTTTTCCCACTAAACTTTTGACACAAGGTCTTGGGTTTCCCACACTTTCTCAACTTTCCTCAGTCTGATGCCTTCCAGGTAACATTCACTTCGATTCCCAATCTTATGAGAGTCTGAAGACCAACTACGAAGGCACCAGCTCGGGGGGAAAACTGTTGTTCCCATAATCAGAAAAATGAAACATGTGAAATAGGTGTGTATTGTTTCCATAGTACCCAATAATACACGGTAAAGACATTGGGTAAACAATAATTATTATTATAGTTGACTAGATGGATCCATGGTCTGAATCCCCAGGTAGCTAGAATTTGTAGCCTCCAGTATCCATGAAATTTCATATATTCTATTCCATTCCTTTGAGTGGGTTTAGCCTCCAGTTCTCTCTCTCCTTTTTTCCCCACAGACTTTGGAACCCTGGAAACTCTATGCCACCGTTGGATTGCTGGTTGGGCTTGATTTTGTCATCTTGGCTATCTGGCAAATAGTTAACCCACTGAAACGCACAACAGAGGTAACATCCTAAAGTGGCATCACTTTAAAACAAGTTATAGGTTCAAGGATTCCAGTTCGTTCAAACGGCTGTTGGTTCTTTTAGTACTAAGACGTATGAAACAACAATTTTTAAAAATTCCACGGAGCGTACAAGACTGCCTTTCTATCATTAGCCCACAAAGTTGTAGTGAGTTAAACAGGCAAAAATTATGTTAGCCTGAACCAGAAAGTCTGTCTTTTCAGCAATGAAGTATTGCTTTATCAAACATGCTTACCTATTAAAAGCCTCTTCAAGAGATGATTCCACATTCCTATTAGATCAATGAGGGGGGCCTTGTGGCCTCCCAGTTGTTATTTGTAATATCCCTCATCACAGGCCGGAAGTCCTGTAAGGTGTCATTCAGGAACTACAGAGAGGACTACTAGTCCCATGTTACTGGAGATGGTTCTCATTCCATTGACCACTCTTTTTTTATATATATATAGAAAAGCCAACAGTTGCAGTCAAGCTTAACGGCACTAAATTTGAAGCCAGGAAATTGAGAATTCTTTATTGCTGCCTTAGGCATGGAATAAAGTGAGTGACTTTGGATCAGTCACTTTTTCTCTGCCCGAGGAAGAAGGCAATGGCAAATCTCCTCTGAAAGTTTTGGCAAGAAAATTGCATAGATTTGGCCATACAGTTGCCAGGAGTCAGGGTTGGCTTGGTGGATCATAACTAAAGCAAGTGTTTGTCCCAGTGTATGGTAGAAAAATCTGCTTCTCTTGGATGCCTATCTCACTATTTCTCCTCTGTGACTCAGTTCCCCTGCTTCTTTCCTGAAACCATTGCCCCATAATCTCCCATACATTTACTGCCTCGTGTTTTTGAGTCTTTCTACTCCCCCCCCCAATAATCTGTGCTGGCTGCATTCACATCATATACTTGCCTTAATCATGGTTTAACCAATTCACTCAGTTTTGGGAATTTTGTGGAGCAATACTTATTGGCCCAGCCAACAGAGACAGTTGTAAGCAGAAGTGAGCTCTGTAAACGCACCTTATTAACCTCAGAGTCTTGAGTTTTACAAGCTCCTGCTAATTACTGGCTTTTACTGTATATTTGCAGTTGTAGATATCATGTGGGAGATGATGCGGTTGACCCTTCCCTCGGGCTCAGCCTGGTCATCTCCTACATCTCACCTGTTTGGTATGTCCCTGCAGTTTCTTCTCCTCTTCCCTATAACAACCTGTTGAGAAGATTGGTTTTTCCCCCTTGTTGCTTTCCTCTCCATTCTTGGCAGTTTTGTTCCTATCTTAATTGAATTGTGATTTCCAGTGTGAGTTGGGATATATCTAAAGATCTATCACAGGGTCGGTTCCTTCTTTGACTGAACGTAACTTATGGTTCTGGGAAGGGGCTAAAACTTCAGTGTTCCTTCCCTCTGACCTAATAGTATATCACAAGGGGAAGAGATGCAAATGACAAAATGATCATTGTGAAATATGAATGCAAGCGCTGCTCTTTTGCACGTTCATCATGATATTGCATGCAGATACGTAAGGGACAGGTGTTTGCAGTGTGATGTCACAACACCCATTTCCTCATGTTGATGAAACCATCCAATCTCACAGGTGCCTTTGCATCACACCTGCAGAGAGCCTGGTTGCTATACAGCAAGCCATATATTTCTATAAAACCAACTTATTAGAAAATTCCTTTTTCCTAACTGTACATGAAAGCTGGTGCCCTATAATTTTGAACTTGAAGCTACCCCAGTTACGTATAAAGCAAAATATGTAAAGATATGCAGTTTAAGATATAAAAGGTACATGTGTGTGTGTGAGAGAGAAAATGTTGCTAACTTTATTTCCGAATTTTACTTAGAATTATTTTTCAGCTGGGCTCTTGTTATTAGTTAAGAAAAGAAACTTAAAAGCAGAGCAAGGAAAATGGTCGTGAGACAAAAATCATCCATGTGTCCTTTTTGCACTTTAAGGGCACTACTAGGAGACCTACTGGCACAGTGGTTAGAGTGCAGTATTGCAGGCAAACTCAGCCCATAACCTGGAGTTTGATCTTGAGAGGGCTCAAGGTTGCCTAAGCTTTCCATCCTTCCGAGGTCGGTAAAATGAGGAACCAGATTGTTGGGGGCAATATGCAAATAACGTTCACTGTAGGACAGTGGTGGCGAACCTATGGCACGCATGCCAGAGGCGGCACTCGGAGCCCTCTCTGTGGGCACACGCACCGTTGTCCCAGCCCCGCCTCCTCCCATGGCCCCTTCCTCCCCAGCAGCCCCCCCTGGAGGACAGTTGCCCCCGGGCACGGCCCATGCGAAGCAGCGCAGCCAAGGGCATGGTAGCCAGGCAGCGGGGAAAAGATGCTGCAGGGCGTGGGTGGAGAGCGTGGCCACCATGGCGCTGCTGGGCTGCCAGGGTGATCTGGCAGGCCGTGGAAGTGGTGGGTGGCCCAGCGGGCAGGGCGGAGCAGGGACAGAGGTGGGGGGCGTTTTTTGTGCACTTGGTCCTTAAAAGGTTCGCCATCACTGCTGTAGGAGATGACTAGGCTGAGCCCGAGGGAGGGATCAAATGCGTCATTAGTCTTGAGTCCCTTCGTGCCCACAAGAGACCTAAGTCCAACCCACCTTGAATTGCATAGACTCTCATCTACCGCCGATTTGCTTTGACAGTTAATAGTACATATTCTTGTAGAGCAGAGGTCCCCAACCTTTTGGGCACCAGGGTAACATGGAGAGAGATTTTTCCACGGACCGGAGGGGGCGTGGTTTTGTGTGCTGCCTGCATCCCGCGGATGGGGCTTTGCTTGTTTGTGCAGCCCGGTTGCTGGCTTGCCGCGACCCGGTACTGGTCCACGAACCAGGGGTTGGGCGCCCCTGTTGTAGAGAGCTTAAGCGTGCAATAAACTTTTATATTCATCTGAACTGCCTGGACTCCTGATTTCCCGTGCCTGATATTACATTGTCAGCTGCCCAGAGAGCGCTGTAAAGTAGCACGGGGTGGTATGTAAGCCTAAATGCTATTGCTATTGTTAAATGACAGTTTCACCCCCTTCCATACCCTTCTTTAGAAAAGAGAATATCAGGATTGAAGTGTGGAGTCCTGGTGCTCTCTAAGCTTGGTTGTTTTCTTGCAGGTGTTTTATTACCCAGCAAGGTGACGTCATCAGTGCTAGAAGGAAGTGGGGTTTTCTCTCTTTTTATATGCAATAGCTTGCCCTGCCAGTATTGCTGATGGGGTGTGTGATTTTCTCCTTGGTGTTTCCTTGATTAGGGTATTCCTTTATATATATATGCTTCTTTACATTCTTCTACATACTGTGTGTGCTTGAGACAGGTATATATATATATCTATCTATAATCATCTTGACCCTTATAGTGCAGCCTTAAGAAAGAGTTAACGGCATACCTTGCCTTGTTCAGTGTATTATCTGCTTTGGCTCTTCTGCTTCCAATGTCTTCATCTTCTCTCCTCCCCCCCCAAGGAATTTACCAAAGAGGAGCCGAAAAGTGACATCGACGTGCTGATCTTACCCAAACTGGAGCACTGCAGTTCGGAAAGGATGAACACTTGGCTGGGTGAGCCTCTCTAGGAAAAGAAAGGGGTTTGTCCCGAGTCCACTTCCACTCATCCCGAGGTTTCGGGTGTCTTTTCCTTTCCTTGGCTAGCCCTGTAACCCTGCCCAGTCTTGCCTTAGTTTAGAAGCAAGGTTCTACATTTAGGCAAGAAAAACCAAATGTACAGGTATAGTATAGGGGGTACCTTGCTCAATAGTAGCAACTGTGAGAGGGACCTTGGAGTCCTAGTGGACAATCACCTAAATATGAGCCAGCAGAGTCCTGCAGCTGCCAAAAAAGCCAACACAGTGCTGGGCTGCATTAACAGAGGGATAGAATCAAGATCACGTGAAGTGTTAATACCACTTTACAATGCCTTGGTAAGGCCACACTTGGAATACTGCATCCAGTTTTGGTCACCAGGATGTAAAAAAGATGTTGAGACTCTAGAAACAGTACAGAGAAGAGCAACAAAGATGATTAGGGGACTGGAGGCTAAAACATATAAGGAATGGTTGCTGGAATTGGGTATGTCTAGTTTAATGAAGAGAAGGACGAGGGGGGACATGATAGCAGTGTTCCAGTATCTCAGGGGCTGCCATAAAGAAGAGGGAGTCAAGCTATTTTCCAAAGTGCCTGAAGGCAGGACAAGGAGCAATGGGTGGAAACTAATCAAGGAGAGAAGCAACCTAGAACTAAAGAGAAACTTCCTGACAGTTAGAACAATTAACCAGTGGAATAACCTGCCTCCAGAAGCGGTGAATGCTCCAACACTGGAAGTTTTTAAGAAGAGACTGGACAGCCATTTGTCCGAAATGGTATAGGGTTCCCTGCCTGAGCAGGGGGTTGGACTAGATGACCTCCAAGGTCCCTTCCAACTTCATCATCATCATCATCATCATCATCATCATCATTATTATTATTATTATTATTATTATTATTAGTGGACAACTTGGTCACTTTCCTGCCTTCTGGACTGAAGCATGGTGTCCCGAATATTTTTTGGTTTCTTGCCTACTGCCCAGTCAGTCTCTCCAGGCGTTCCTTCTGCACACGTGTATTTTACCATTCCAAATAAAAGGGATTGTTTTGGGAAGCCTGAGGGAAAATGCTCGAGGGCTGAAAAACAATGTAGGTGATAAGGATGGAGACATAGACCGGGATTGAGTGGGATCCTGGAGACAGCCAGCTGGCTCTGCCAAGAATACTGGGCATAAATTGCATACCTTGTTACATTTGGTTTGTGCTCAATGTTTGTTGCTGTTGTTGTTTTTTTTACACTGTTTTGAAATTGATTAGACAAGCCTTCCTCCATCTGGTACTTTCACTACAATGACCAGCAATTAGGCTACCTGGAAGTTTGGGGAGATTTAATCCTTGGAGGAGTGGGGAGGCTGGTTTAAAGTCCTGTTAAAATCTGTGTTTTTAAATTTTCTTTTTGATTCTTGCTTTATTACTGTGTGTTTTCTTACAAGCTTCCTTGAATGTTTCATAAAAGAAGTGAGCTACCTACTACCCAAAGAGCGAAAGAGTTGATAAGGGAGGCAGGATCTACTGCTACCCTTCCTAGGGTTGTTCCCCCCTACACCCTCCCTTCCATTGGGATCTCTTCGCCTTCCACCACCTTCACATTCCTTCCTCCCCACAGGCATCTTCTACGGCTTCAAAGGGCTGCTCCTGCTTTTAGGCATCTTCCTGGCCTATGAGACAAAGGGAGTCTCCACAGAGAAGATCAATGACCACCGGGCTGTGGGCATGGCAATATATAATGTGGCTGTAAGTGGTTTGTTTCAGATGATTGACAGTCATCTCTGCCAATTGAGCTTCTGGGTACAGCAATGTCCAAGTAATTGGAAGAGTATTCCATTTCTCCTCAGTCTAAAGAAAAGGAACAAGGTTTGGGCCAACGTTTCTGCCTTAGCAGGGATTAGAATGGGGATTGGGCCACTTCTAACTGGTCATGCAGTCGTCTTGTTTTGGGCTACTTTGCCTCAATTGGGGTTGCATGTAAGATCTCTTTCTGTAAAAAGGAAGGAAGATGGTCTTCACATATATGCAAGCTCTGTTGCCAAGGCAACAAGAGGAAGAACATTTTTTTAAGTTCAGGATGTCTAGATAATCTTTGGAAGTGGCAGATTCACTGAACTCTAAAAATACTTTAAGAATAGAATAGAGTGGGGAGGAGTGGAGTGGAATGGAATGGAATGGAATAGAATAGAATAGAATAGAATAGAATAGAATAGAATAGAATAGAATAGAATAATAGAATAGAATTACTTTATTTGGCCAAGTGTGAGTAGACACACAAGGAATTTATCTCTAGTGTATAGACCAGTGGTTCTCAACCTTTTTAATGCCGCGACCCCCAACCGGTTGTAAGTCGAGGACTAAACCGGTCGTAAGTCGAGGACTAAACCGGTCGTAAGTTGAGGACTACCCAATTGGTCGTAAGTCAAGGACTTTCCCTGCCCGGGAGCGCCGTGCATGCGTGGTTCCGCCCCCTGCCCTGGCCAAGGCGTAGCTGGCAAGCGGCAGAGATGGAGCAGGCCGACCACCAGCTGGCCCAGCCCAAGGGAGGTAAGGCACCTGCCCGAAAAGGGGAAAAAATGGCAGACAGCCTTGCTTGGCGACCCCCGTGAAATGGTCGATCGACCCCAAATGGGGTCGCGACCCATAGGTTGAGAACCGCTGGTATAGACTCTCAGTGTATATGCAAAACAACAAAATAATAATTATAATAATGATACCAATAAGAGAAGATATTAAAAAAGGTGAGAAGGATAATAATACAGCCATACTACAAGGGTAAATATACTTTACCAAATTTATATTTAGAATGTACAATTCTAAATTTATAGTCTATTTAGAAGGAGTAGGAGATACAATCAGACTTGGACGATTCTATTATAGCCAATCTCAATAAAAGTAGTTTTAACCTTCCTGTAGAGTTGATTTCCTGGTGTGGTCTACCCAATAGGGCTGACACTTTTGGGGGGGGGAGCTTCTGAACATCTGGCTGCAGCTCAGTCAGGAAGCTTTGCTTCTCGGTGTTTAGTGTTGCAGTGATAACCATCTGCTTTCACGAAGCCAGCCTATCCTGTTGGATGATGTCAAGGGTATTATCTCTCCTTGGCCATAGGGGCAGGGTGAGCCTTGAAGGCTAGAAGCAAATTTCCTGACAATCCCTACAACGGCTAGAGAATTCTGATAATTGAAGTCCACACGCCCTTAGGTTGGTCAAGGTTGTAAAATCCTGCCGTAGGACTTCCTGGGTGTGCTTTCCGGTGTAAGCTCTCTAACTGCCTGCAGCCTCTCCCTTTTGTAGGTGCTGTGTCTTATCACGGCCCCCGTGACCATGATCCTCAGCAGTCAACAGGATGCTGCCTTTGCCTTTGCCTCACTTGCCATCGTCTTCTCCTCTTATATCACCCTGGTTGTGCTGTTTGTGCCCAAGGTAAGTACTTCCCCTCTGACATCGCTTAAATCAGACGTGTCAAACACAAGGCCAGGGGGCCGGATGCGGCCCGTGAAGTGGTTTCATGTGGCCCGCGAAGCCATTCTGGAAACAGTGAGGGAACGGCCCCCGCTGCCTTGGCCCTGGCCCAGGTCGGCTGGGAGCCAATGTACAATTTTGTGGTGGCCATCTATGCTGAAACACATTCACTCTTAGCTCCACAAGGCCGTCTAGAAACAGCGAGGAACCAGCCCCTGCTGTGTCGGCCCCGCCCCTTGGGTGCATGCTGGGGAGGTGTCACCCTTTGTGAGGAATGAAGAAATGGACCATGCCTTGGCACTTGCCCCGGTCCCACCCCCTTCTGCCAGAGACCCTCAGATCTGTCCCACTCCTGCCCAGGCCCCCACAGGCACCCTTGACGCGAACGATGTAGAGGTGGCCATGCCCACCCAGTAGGCCACACCCACTCCATCCACACCCACTCAGTAGGCTACACCCACCCTGGCCACACACCCCCGGCCCCCCCGAGGGCAACCGCAATGCTGATGCGGCCCTCAATGAAATTGAGTTTGACACCCCTGGCATAAGTCATTCTTTAGGTCAGGACTGGATAATTAATTTTCCCAAAGGGCCATCTAAAACTGGGATTATTGTGGAGGGCCAAATCAAAAGGGCCGTGAAAGTGCATAGGCACACATGCACGCACATCTATAAATTGAAAAAAAAAATAGTTGCCTTCAAAATAAAAGCAATGCAGTTGTATTGCATGCATGGTGTACACTTACATTTGACTTCCAATTTTCGATGGGCTGGACAGGGGCATCCAAAGAGCCAGATGTGGCCCAGGGGCCATAAAATGCCCAGGTCTGGTCTAGCCCATCCCAGACAATGGCCTTCTCAGGAAGGGAGCTGAAAAAATTAAGCACATCTGGTCTTCCTGTTCTGGCTATCTTGCGCAGCCTTTTCCTAGCCACGAACTGCAGAAGTGTGGTTCCTGTTTCAGATGCGGCGTCTTATCACCCGGGGAGAATGGCAGTCCGAGCAGCAAGACACCATGAAAACTGGCTCCTCCACCAACAACAACGAGGAGGAGAAATCACGGATGTTGGAGAAGGAGAACCGTGAACTGGAGAAGATCATTGCCGAGGTGGGGACCGTATGTATCTGGGGAGGGGCAGCCAGGGAGTGATGATCAGTCCGGTGTCCTTCCATTCTCAGTTGTATTTTCTGCACAGCTTAATAATGCCCAGTAGAGAACTTTCATAGATCCAGACCAGGGCTAGGCAACCTTGGCTCTTTTATGACTCGTGGACTTCAACTCCCAGAATTCCTGAGCCAGCATGGCTCAGCTTGGAAACCTCTCCCTTTCCCCTCAGCATGGCTGGCTCAGGAATTCTGGGAGTTGAAGTCCACGAGTCATAAAAGAGCCAAGGTTGCCTACCCCTGATCCAGACAGACAACCTGTAGGGCAGAGGGCAAAGCATGATGGGAGATGGCATGAGATTTCTTTCTATGTTTTTGGGATGGAGGGGAGTTTCCTCAGAATTGTGCGAAGCTCCGTGGCGAGCGTTTTCAGTGATCATTGGTGGAGAATGCAACCCTGGAGGCGCAAACTGGCCACACTTTCTATAAAGACTAAGAACGTGGCGTAACATTGCTTACTCTTCCTGATCACCTTCCATACCCTTCTTAGAATATACTATTTGAGCAATCCACAGAACCGAGTATAAGAATTGGGCTGCCTTTTGATTGCTGAGCAACTTCCTTGGACTTGAGTTTTGGTTCTGGTGGGGTGTTTTTAGGGTGGGGAGGATTGCAGCTGCCTCCTTCCTGTATCTAAATTCTAGAGCAGTAGTGGCGAACCTATGGCACAGATGCCACAGGCGGCACTCAGAGCCCTCTCTGTGGGCACAAGCGCCATCGCCCCAGTCCTAGGCTTTCAGCTGGGTTTTATAAAACCTTTTTGCTTTAGGCCTCCGCCACCGTGTGCCCCCCAAAAAAGGTCCAATCAGTCAATTTCAACTTTTCGCGGGGAAAAAAAAAGATCTTGCAAAGTTGGAATTGATTGATTGAACTTTTTAGTCCCACCCAGTCTGCCGTTATCACCACAGCTACGCCCTGCCAATGGGCCATGCCCAGCCAATGGGCCACGCCCACCCGGCACCCAACGATGCATAAGTGGGTTTTGGGTTGCAGTTTGGGCACTCAGTCTCTAAAAGGTTCGCCATCACTGTTCTAGAGGAACAAACTGGGGACAGATCCCGGAGAAAACCATTTAGCGTCAATACCAACTTGATGGCACGTAATAAAATCTGCGCCAACATCCATCCCTTCCACCAGGATGCTGGGGGGTAGGTCTTGCCCCATTGCTTCATAGACCCCTCCCTCCCTCCTCCCCGACAGAAAGAAGAGCGTGTCTCAGAGCTCCAGCAGCAGCTGAAAGATCGGCAGCAACTCCGTTCCCGGCGGCGCTCCTCCAACTGCGCGGCTGACAACCATTTCAACAACTCAGCTTCCGCTTCAGCAGCCACTGGCCCCAACCTTTACCAGCCCAGCCTGCCACTTGTCCGTTGCCTGGTGGCTGAGCAGGCTGACAAGCTGGGACGCAACAATTGTGATGGGAGCCGTGTCCACCTGCTCTACAAGTGAAGGACCTTGCAGACATCTGGAGAAAGGGAGAGTGGGGCCGCCGGGGAACGGGCATCTGGTGGGTGGGGACTCTGTACAGCCGGCTGGGAAGGGGGGGTTTTGTTTTCCCCAAAAGAAAGGAAATGGAATCATAATCCCTAATCTTTGTAAAATATCTTCGTGTCTGTCCATCTGTTTCCCCTGGAGCCTGGAAATCCAAGTGGAAAATCTGGAGACTTAATTTAGAAGTATGCAATGCCAGGGACCACCCGCATCTACACTCCCCCCACCCCCCCCAAACACACACACACATCTCACTACTCTTCAAATGTTGCTGCTTGGGAAGGGAGCAACTGGAAATGTGGCCGTTGTAAAGCCAAACTCCCCGTCTGCGTGCCCTGGGTGCTTGCAAGAATACGAGGGGGCAAGAAGAAATTCAGACTGAAAGGAGCATTGGAAACTGGTGCAGTTTTTGCTCCTCTGTAAACTTAACCTAGATACAGATACCAGTAGATACAGCATACAGGGACGTCAATTTTTGTACAGTTGAGTTGTGACGTGGCAATTATATTGCGTTACTGATAGTCCTACCATAGTTCACAAGGGTTTTCTTTACATTCCCCCCCCCTCTTTTTGCTGCAACCTGATTGTTTGCAAAAGGGTCTATTTGTTCCAAGCCAGTCTGTAGCACAGTCTTCCTGCAGCCGATAGTTGAGTCTTCTAAGCACTTTGGTATGAAAAAAAAAAAAGTTTCATGTAACCCCAAAGAGTTCCATGGTGTTGGATTGGATTGCAACTGATTACGTTTCATTATCAAAAGCACTTAACTTACTTTCCCGATCCGATTCTGGCTACCGGTACAAGCAACCGCACAAATGCACAACCTGGCTGGCTCTGATGATAGCACATCATAGCCATGTCACATTTTAACCTCTGCCATCATTCCTGTGCAATCATGGGACCGTGAGGCGTCCCAGCTGGGCCACATCTACGTAAAGGTGAAGAGTGATGCAATGATGGAGGTGAAGGTTTAAAGCCAAAGGGAAAAATTCAAAAGGTGAAGGTGGAGCCCTTATTCAGAGATAGAGGCTATTGCTAGAGACAGGAGAGGGAACGTAACAGGTGATTTCTTTGCCCAGGTGGTAATTAATTAACCACAAGATAACGCCTTGTCCATCTGTAGCAGAGTTCTTTAAGAAAGTAAGCACCGTTCCTTGGATATGAGGGGACGGGCATTGCCTGATGTGAGAATGTTAGCTTGGAGTTGTTTCTACGAATATTTCAGTCCTTACTCAGCAGCATCTGCTCATGCTTGGAAATGTGTCCTTCGGTTGACAATGGGCCATGGAGAATTTCTAGATCATATTTAATTGCCATTATTGCCTTCATCTTGGTTCGTCTACACAAGGGATGTAGGGTGCTAGAGCTACAGTGAAGATAAGGATTGGCTAGGTTGCTGATGAACATTCGGGAACTGGGGCCCACAGTCTGACGAATGTATGCACCTCTGCATGCAGATCCTCTCCATGCTTTTCCCATTTGGAGCACTTTATTGTCCCAGCAGATGTGGAAAGCGGTGGATGCTGCCTAGGATGGCGAGGGAAGCCCAGATGCCTGCCAGACTTTTCCACCAGTATACAGATGTTCTTTAGTAAAATTATACCATACGAAACAAGTGCCTGTGTGTCATCTGTGAACGGTATGAATGTCTTCAACCTTATGGTGCTGTTCTATCTCCTGCAACATGAGCCTAACCCAAAGTAACAAGGGATGGAGCAAAGGGAATTCTTCATGAAAGCAGTGTTGATGCCATGTATGTTTCTCCCTCAATGTGTAGGTACAACCCATTTGTTCTCTTATGAAGGTAGTCCTCAACTTACAACCATTCATTTGGTGACTATTTGAAGTTACAACAGCACTGGAAAAGTGATTTATGACCATTTTTCAGTTAGGATTTCACACGTCCCCATGGTCAAGTGATCAAAATTGGAACACTTGGCATGTCTTTATGACGGTTGCAATGTCCCAGGGCAGGGGTGGGCAACCTTGGCTCTTTTATGACTCGTGGACTTCAACTCCCAGAATTCCTGAGCCAGCATGGCTCAGCTTGGAAACCTCTCCCTTTTCCCTCAGCATGGGCTGGCTCAGGAATTCTGGGAGTTGAAGTCCATGAGTCATAAAAGAGCCAGGGTTGCCTACGCCTGTCCCAGGGTCATGTGACCCACTTTTGCAACTTTCTGACAATGTCAATGAGAAAGCCTGATTCATTCCACCGCGCCCTTAAGACATGGCTCTTCCAACAAGCGGGATTGGCCTAGGGGAATTTTTAGTGGGGTTTTAAGAATAATTTTAAATTGACACAGGCGACATCAAATATTTCATTTTAATTAGGTTTTAAAGTGGGCATTTTTATCTTTGTATCTGTTTTACCAGGCTGTCAGCCGCCCTGAGTCCGTAAGGAGAAGGGCGGGATAAAAATTCAAACAAATAAATAAATAAATTTAATGTGTTACTAACTTAAACTGTAGTGATTCACTTAACAACTGTGCCAAGAAAGGTCATAAAATGAGGCAAATTCACTTAATTATTTTGCTTAGCAATGGAAATTTGGGGCTCTTTTGTGGTCATAAGGACTACCTATATAGTAGTCAATGCATGTTACTCCAGAGCATCTTAATCTAGCACCATCTAAATAATTTGGCTTATAAACCTGGACCAGTTTTGATTATTAACCATTCTTCTTGGGAATGAGGGACGGGTAGGCCGTTTGGCCCTAACGTAAGTTTCACCCAGTTCACTGGGGTCCTCTTATAAGTTTGTAAGAAATTAGAGCCTAAAGAGAGAGAAAAAAACACTGCTGGTGGACTTGTTGATTAAAAGACATAGCCAGTTAGTGCCAACCATAACTGGCTGCTACTGCAGACTTTTAAAACTTAAGTTGTTTGAGAAGGCAGGTATACTTGGACTGTTTCCAAATTGTTACTACTTTAAAAACAGAGCTGGTCGATGCCACTGGGAGAGAGTGTGTGCGTGCGCGTGTGTGTCATTGTGTGTTAGCTTTGTTGCTGCAGCAGAGCCAAGGAAGCAAAGGAGTGTGGCTAGACTAATCTGAAAAGCCTCTTTTAAAATACAACCTTGGTCTCTGCCGACAAATGAACAGATGAATTAGCTCAGTAGCCCTAAGGCACAGATGATCATTTATTTAATAATGCCCAGCTCCTGGAGTTAAAACAGCTATGGAATAATATGGCAATATAGTAGAGATTGATGGAGGTGGCTGCGCGTCAGGACAGTTCTTCAGTATAATTAGAAATCAGTCCATTCTTTTATACACTGCAGACATAGCTCTCTCGAGGCTAAATGTAAGATTTAAATAAAGTTGGAAAATTATTTTAACTCCTTAGATCGGGGGCAGCCAGATAGATTGGAAACTACCAGGAGCCTACCCTGGTATTACCTCAACTTCCTGTTTATCCAAAATGAGGAGCTTCTTCCCCATCAAAAAAGGACTCTTAGAAGTTCCTGTTTGTAGTGGTTGAGGTATTTTTTAATTAGATTTTTATCCCTTCATTATTGTTAAATCACTCGTGACATTGTTAAATAACTCAAGGTGTCAATAATCCTTCCTCCTATTTTCCCAACAACAACCCTGTGAGGTGGGTTAGGCTGAGAGTGACTGGCTCAAAGACACTGACATTTTTTCAGGCCTAAGGGAGGATTAGAACTCATAACCTCCTGATTTCTAGGCTGGCACCTTAATCACTAGGCCAAACTGGATCTCAGTGTAGATTTAGATGTAGCAGGGGTTCCCAACCGGAGTTGCTTGCACCCCCCTGGGGTGCAAGACGATCTTCCAGTGGGTGTGAAAACTTGGGGTTTTAAAATTATAGTGTATATGCATAATTTGTTGCTGTTGTTTCGAACTTTTGTAAGGGGTACGAGAATATATCAGAAGCGTTCTAGCAGGGTATAGAAAAGGTTGGAAGCCACTGATGTATAGGATTTAGAAGTTCAGAGCAAGGCTCCCATCCTCCAAAGCATTGTTGTTTTGCTTTTGCCCATATGTGCGTAGATCAGCATGGCAATAAATGCAGCCAAGTTGAACCCACACAGCCTGGTAAATAGCTAAATAGCCTCCACAAGCAGACCAAGAGCCTAGCTTGTTAATTCTGATGTTCTCTAGTGTTTCTCAACCTTGAGAATCAAGTGTGTGGATTTCAATTCCCAAAGTTTTGAAATTAGAAGTTCACAGATTTTAAAACCTCTAAGAAACGCTGCTGTATTATGTACGTCTTTCATCTGTTTGTGACCTTAGAACAGTGGTTCTCAACCTTTTTAATGCCACGACCCCACCGGTCGTAAGTCGAGGACTAAACCGGTCGTAAGTCGAGGACTAAACCGGTCGTAAGTCGAGGACTTTCCCTGCCCGGGAGCACCACGCATGCGTGGTTCCGCCCCCTGCGCTGGCCGAGGCGTAGCTGGCAAGTGGCAGAGACAGAGCAGGCCGACCACCAGCTGGCTCAGCCCAAGGGAGGTAAGGCACCTGCCGGAAAAGGGGGAAAAAATGGCAGACAAAAAAAATGGCGGACAAAAAAAATGGCGGACAGCCTTACTTGGCGACCCCCATGAAATGGTCGATCGACCCCAAATGGGGTCCCGACCCACAGGTTGAGAACCACTGCCTTAGAAGTTATAATGTTTAGATACCTTGCTGAAAAGAATAATTTGCTTGAGGGAAAGGCAGAAGGCAAAGGAAAAACAAAAGCTGCCCAAGGAAGATATTCATTTTTAGATCCATCAATAGCAATGATCAATTAATCAAGATACAAATGCCAATACAGTAATTTAGTTGAACTTCAGGTGTCAGTCCCAGGTGATGAATTCATTGGAGGCTGCTCAGCTCATGGTCAACCAGGAAGAGAAAAAAATTACATATGTCATAAACCCAGAACACGTCCTTACGACATGATTAAGAAATGTGTGAAAGTCTTTTAATGGTTATTTGTGATTGCAGACAAAACATTTAAGAAGATTAAACTTCTTAGGGCAATGGGCACAGAATTCTAGGCTTTTGGACTTCAGTTCCAAATTTCCTTATCACAAGTCTCAAGTTCTAAGCAGCTGGCCAGTATTTTTACAATTAAGTATTTTTTCCCCCCAATAATACAGATTTCCTATACACAGGATGGTGAAACAGCTTTGAGGCATTTCCAGGATTGAGGTGATCCTGCTACAGAAGTGGCCAACAACAGAAGAAACAAAAACAAAGAGTAATTTCTAAGGCACAAAACCTGAAGACTGCAGAATTTTACTGGCATTCTTCCTTCCCTAAACCAATCCATTCTATTGAGTTCCAGAGTAATTTGACCTGCATTAATTGCCCATAACTGCTTCTCTTCTTTATCTGCTGATCTGTGCATTTTCTGCTGCTATTAAAGGCACAGACACAAAGCCAGATGGGGTTTTTTCCCCCCCAGCCAATTAATAACCACAACCCACTAAAAATATGACTCTGAGCTGGAGATAAAATCTCCAAGCCTCTACCACAGGCTGCTTTTGCGCAGGTCTGTTCCACCCCATCTCTCCCTCTGAGTCTTGGGCCTTTATGGCTACACCGCAAGTATCTTAGAGCAAGTAAAGCCCCCTCCCTTTGTTACATGTTTGATGTTAGGGAAACCTTGGCATTTTGGATTCCTGCTTTCCATGCAGTTGTTCAGGCCACAGAACATGGGAGAAAAATGAAGTAGCAAAAACAAGCAAGAAGCTGGAAGTGATAACCCTACAGTCCTTCATTAGGCCGTTGTGATCCACAAGACTTGAGTTCTACGTTCACACTCGCCAGAACTCCAGAGCAGCATTGACAGTTAATCTCACCTTGGTATCTTTAGCAAGTTGCCCACAGCTGAACCCAACACCAAGTGAACTTCTCTGCCAAGCTGCTCCTATGAGTAGTGTACCCTAGGTCCAGGAGGAGAGGTTAGAAAGCAAAAAAAAAAAACAAACAAACCCAACCAAGCACCAAGGACAGTGAAAGTGCAGCTGCCAAGGATGAAGGCACCTTGCCAAACAAACCTCAATCCCTGGAAGTGATGTGCCAGATCCAGTTGTGAAGCAAAACCTCAGAGCAGATTCCACCAGCTGTTCAGGAGAAAAGGCCAATTGGAAACGTCCTCCTCATTTGCTTCTCTCTAAGCATGTTTTCTAAGAGTTTATCACCACCACCCCATCATATTCTGTCTTGCATTACATTCCTGATTGGAGAAAGAGTTTCAAGCTGGCAGTGGCCTGGGCACCTGAAATGTTGTTCCCTTCATCTGAAATGATATTCCCAGCCTGGCACCGACAGCTGACTACAATTTCCTGGAGGGGGTTGGAGTTAATGAACTAGCATGCCTGGAAGGCACCAGGATAAGGAAGGTTGGCAACACTTTAAGAGCATGCTGTGTGTCTCTGCCAAGGTGCCAATTAAGGCGGATTAATAATGTCTCCCATCCACCAAGAAGGTGTAACACGGCTCCGTTTTTCTACCAGCCTGTTCCCACGGGCAATAAAACAGCAAAGGGGCAACTTCAACCTCTCCAATTCACCTCATCCAAAGATGACTGCGAGAGAAAGTGCCAGCAGAAGTCTAAGGAGTGATTCGCCAATAAAGTGCTGGTGCCACAGCCTCCAGAGATGAAAAGGATTAGCAGACAGAGTTAAGCTTTATCTTCCCATTCATCCTGCGCAGACAACTGGAGGCGGCCAGGGAGTTTCTGGAGAATCTGAAACTACCAGCAGCACAATCATCACAGGTGGATGCAGGAAGGGCAGAAAGCCCATCTGTTAGTGTTAGGGCGAGGGAGAGCTTATTGGACTAGATTCGTTTCTCCCAAAGGCCGAGCTGTGGTTCCCTTTGGGAAATCCTCCCACTGAAATGTACATAGAAGGCATCATGAAGATGTAGATGCCACAGACTATCAGGGCGACGGTGACTAGCAAAGCGACCGACAGAGCGGCATAGAACGGCCAGCCCGAGATGGCCAGTCTCCGGGCTGATCCTGGGGGTGGGGGCCTCCCGACATCGACACTCAAACTGACAGTGTTGAGCGGAGGTCCTGGCTTCGTTCCAACTTGAGCCCCGCTTTTGTTCCCCCCTGGCAAGTAGAGCAGACCCCGCCGACGATCAAAGCGCACCGAGCCAGGGGGCACCGGCATTGCCGTGAGCTGCTCCAGCAGGTCGCGGCGGGTGGGAAGCCCCGGCAGGCCCTTGCGGGGGGGCAAGACGGTGGGTGCCCGGCAGACGGGGCAGGTGATGGCGTTGACATCTTCTGAAGAGACATTGATGCGGGCCAGGCACTCCAGGCAGAAGACATGACTGCAGCTCAGCTCCTTTGGCAGTTTAAAGAGCTGGTCATAAGGGGTGAAGCAGATAACGCAGTCTAAGGGGTTGGGTTCAGTACTGGCTGATTCTTCCTTGCGATCCACGGCTTCTTCCTTGGAGTCCGAACGTGGTGCTGAGGATTCAGGCTGGAAACTGACATTGTGGTGGGCCATGGCGTCACTGGCGGTTGCAACAGGCCCCAACGCTGAAAGACCCAAAGCTGAGGGACTCGGGCGTCATTCTTCAACAGTCCATGCTTCCATTCAACAAACTTCAGAGGAATCGGTCAGGAATTGAGCTGACATTTCTGAAAAGGACAGAAAGAGGACAAAAGGTCAGCAGTGATGATAACCTGCTCCCAAATCACAATGTACCAGGAGCACGGCCACCTTTGTCAAGTAGATTCAAAGGGAGGTGCTCCAGTTTGCCTGCAATACCAAGATAAGATATTAAAACAGGGGAAGAATTGCAAATTACAGCAGTTTTCAAAAGCACAGCCCCGTCCAGTGGAAGACATGGGTTTTTTCTTTTCTTTTGTACATGCAGCTTTTGTGATAGATGTTATGTCTGTTGCCACGAAGGCTTTGAATTCGTAATGCTTGGTTAACGCCCAAACTTAGTCACCGCAGGCCATAGGTCTAGAAAAAGACAGGTGAAATGGATCAAAAGGAAATGGATCTGCTGACTTTTTAATTGCAGCAAAGGTTTAGAGGACTTAAGAGTTGCTAAACATCTCATCTTACCCTCATCCTCAGCATCTGAACTACACTATACTTCAGACCTTTTTTTGCCATCTTTATTATTTGTGTGCTTCCAGTCAGTCTTGACTCTTAACGACCATCTGAACAAGTTCATACAATTTTTTGGCAATATTTTTGAAAATTGCTTGCCACTGCCCTCATCTAGGACTGAGAGAGACCCCAAAACATCAGCTGGCTTCATGTCCAAGATTAGACTCATACTCATGGTCTTCTGGTTTCTAGCTCAGTGCCCTTAACTACTACCCCAAATTGGCTCTCTTTGTTATCATAGTCCTTTGCTGTCCCTGATCTTAAATGCCACCTATATCAGCTTTTCTCCTCCTACTTCTCCTCCTCGTGGAAGAAGCTACTAGCTGGGGAATTCTAGGAATTGAAGTCCACACACCTTAAAGTTGCTGAGATTGAGAAATATTGATCTACATCCTTAGCAGTTCTCCTAATGTTATCCTAGTCTCTTTTTTTCTAGCCCTAAATCTTTCATTGCTTTTGTGGCCTCAGCCTTTAAAGAAGCACTAAAGGATTTAGAAGATGATCTAAATTAAGTAATTACACTTTGCGGCATTTCCTGTGGAAAAGAATAGGGAAAACCTCAATACATGTCAAGATATTGATTTAACAGCTAACCAGCTTATGTAATGTAAGATTTAAGATGTAATGATGGGAATGATTCAGCAGGGTCTGTCTCTCTTTAAGAGCCTTTGTATAAAGGGAAGGCTCTGCTGATGTGTTCTCTCTCTTCCGTTTCTTTCTGTAACTGTGATTTGTTGGATCCTGCTGCATTAGCACGTGTATGTATATTGTTCCTGGTGTATGATATTGTAGATAGTGTAAGATAAACACCATTTACTATAAACCACTGTTTACTGTGTTTACTCCTGGGTTATCTCGCACAATAAGACTGTGCACGCTCTGACAATACAGATGATTAGAGAAGCTACTCCATGAATTATCTTTCATTGAGCAACTAACTTCTCAACTGTGTGACAAATGTGGTATAACTGAAAAATAAGGGCCATTTCAATCAAAATTATACCACTTGATATTTATGGCAATCTGGTTCCCCAGTCACACATATGCCTCTTAAGAGAAAAGCACAACTTGCTTGTATCTTCTGGATTACTTTTGGAGAGAGGCTGCAAGGTCGGAGGGCAATGCAGGGAGATCATTATCTGCACTGGATGAGAAGGGGAAAAAAACCTTCATGAGAAACTTCCTGCTGCAATGCAAAATAGTCATCACTGGTGCTAAATATAAAGTGGGAAGTTATGGGTTGCGCAGCCCTACAACATTCAGGGATGTGAGATGGAGACAAAATACATATGCTCGCCTACTCACGGATTCAGTTCAAGACAACCTGGAGAACACGTGGGCTGTAAAAAGAATAATGTCCACAAGTCATTCTAACAATGGTCAACCACTGTGTATGTGTAGCGACAAAAGAGGAATGACAATTAGGCAATAGGAACGCATGGACAATACGGTTGTTGGACTCTGTGTCCTCTCAGTTTAGATTTCATTTGGGAAGGCTAATTTAACCGCTTGTAAAGGGATATTTCTGGCATAACCTGGCATGAATGGGGACCGAGTATGGAGACATTCTCCAGTGGCATCGTTATCTGGCATAAACAAAAATGCCTGGTCCCACCTTAGTGTAACACAGGGGCAAGAAAGCCATTATTGGTCCAGTGGTTAAGGCGCCAAGCTAGAAACCAGGAGGCTGTGAGTTCTAGTCCGAACTTAGGCATGAAAGCTGGCTGGGAGACTTCAGGCCAGCTACTCTTTCTCAACACAACTCGCCTCACAGGGTCGTTGTGGAGAAAATAAGAGGAAACGGGAGTGTTAGGTATCTTCGCCACATTGAATTATTTATAACAGTAATAACAAAAGTGAGATATAAATAAATGACCATCCCAATCCTTCAGATATGTCTGGCAAGACCCCTTGCTTGGCAATAACGTGAACAATGCTGGAGTTATTCTATGCTAATCTGGGGTGGGACATGAATAAAAAGGAATGGGCTTGCCTTTCAAAAATACCCCCCCTCTTTAAAAGAAAATAAGGGTATAGGTCCCAGAATTCCTGAGCCAGCATGGCTCAGCTTGGAAACCTCTCCCTTTCCCCTCAGCATGGCTGGCTCAGGAATTCTAGGAGTTGAAGTCCACGAGTCATAAAAGAGCCAAGGTTGCCTAGCCCTGGATAGGTCAAGTACCCCCACCTTTCCCAATTGCTCCACTGCTGCACTATTACGTTCAACAAGGAAGATGTAAGTTACTCTCTCAAAATGATAGTCCATCTCTGAGATGAACAGGCTTAATCCTGAATGATGAGGAATGTTGGAGAGGACGGGTTATTTTAAGAGAAAGCTAAGGAAAAATGAGATGGAGAGCTCCAGCTAATTAGAAGACGGGAGTCAAAAAAATAATAAAGGGGAGAAATTAGAGCTAAGCCTAAATAACCTTTCAAACTTCTCTCCATCCGATCTGTAGGGTGAATTGGATGCTTTTTCCATTTCTCAAGGTCAGGGCTCCTTTCCTCCCTCACCAAGGTCTAGCTATGTGGTTGCTAAGAGTCAACAACAACGTAATGGTAGGTAAACAATCAACCAAGCCTTAACGGTAAAAAGGCCAAAGCAAGACATTTCCTCATGAAATCTTTCCTCAGGACTGAACTAAAGCAAGGAAGGCTGCAGGACAGATACTGGCGAAGTTACAGCCTTTGGCCCCACTGTGATTAAATAAAAACAAGAGCACCCCAATTCCCCAAAAGGCTCTTTGTTCCTTTTTTTTTGCCCACCACGAGCGATAAAATCTCACATCCAGAAAGTTTTTGCCCAATCGGAGATACATTTGGACAGTCGAGTTCTGAGAACTTTTTAATTAATGAATAATTCAGCGATGTGAATATGACAGAGCTGTATCATGCAGAATGCATTCAAAGATATCCCTGTGATCACAGAACTCAATAATGGGAAAAGCTTTTTGGTAGCACAGAAAAACAACAAGAAGAGCCCAATCCACTCCCGATCATCTCTCTTTTACAACAATTTCTAAAACCATTTTTTCCCCCTCCCGCTGAATGACAACTGGGAGAAAAACCTACAGGAAGTTTCACTATCTGACATTGGTAGGAATAATACTGAAGAGGCATCTGACTAAACATTAGGAGAACTTCCCTAATAATTACAGCAATTAGAGAGGAATCTAACAGGCTTAGGAGCTGCTATGTTTTCTTTCCCAGGAAAGGAACTTTAAAACTGCATCTTGCACTATAGATCCTCTACTGAGTTGTGGGTTGGACTAAATGACCTCCAAGATACATTTTGGCTCAAAACAGCCTCCTACAACTATTTTCCTGCTGCAATTATTATCCACAAACAATAATCAAACCAATCACAACATCATTTTTCCTTCTAATTATCAACAAACACCTCACCCAACAAATGAGCTAAGATGAAGGACTATCTAAGGCAGTGGTTCTCAACCTTTTTAATGCCGTGACCCCCAACTGGTCTTAAGTCGAGGACTAAACCGGTCGTAAGTCGAGGACTAAACCGGTCGTAAGTCGAGGACTACCCAACCGGTCGTAAGTCAAGGACTTTCCCTGCCCGGGAGCGCCGCGCATGCGTGGTTCCGCCCCCTGCGCCGGCCGAGGCGTAGCTGGCAAGCGACAGAGACGGAGCAGGCTGACCACCAGCTGGCCCAGCCCAAGGGAGGTAAGGCACCTGCCGGAAAAGGGGAAAAAAATGGCGGACAGCCTTGCTTGGCGACCCCCGTGAAATGGTCGATCGACCCCAAATGGGGTCGCGACCCATAGGTTGAGAACCGCTGATCTAAGGCCACTGTTTGGCTCCAAAGTGGGAATCAGACTTCACCTTTCTGCCAGCCAAATTCGTCTCACCTACCAGAGGGGGGAGGAGGAGGAGGAGGAGGAGGAGGAGGAGGAGGAGGAGGAGGAGGCGGCGCTGTTGCTGAGTTAGCACAGCATACACCTTATGTGCCAGATGTTCCTGGTTCAGGCTGTGGCATTTCCCATTAAAAAGATCAGGGAGCAAGGCTTGATGAACCACTGTCAGAAGAGAAGCAGTGACGAGGATGGAGAAATAGGGCTGCTGCTCATGTTGGGAAATGCAAAAGTATGTTAGGGTCAAGTCTGACGGCTTCACGGTAGCCCTTTGGTGCTCTGCAAACATTTCTTCAGTAGGCAGTAGGTTGGCAGACCTGTGCAAGGCATCCTGGGAAGAGTCAGACTGCAGCGGTGAAGGGGTGGTAGGGTTTTACATTGTGGATTTTTAATGTTGTAAGCCACCTGTAATCACCATGTACGAGTTTAATAAATAAATTTGCAGCAAGTATTGATCATTTTTTTTCAGGCGTAAACAGGACAAGAAAGGCCATCAAACCTGGGTTGCAAAA